ATGGAAATTTCGCGTGTCTTCTGAATTATTATATAAAAGCAATATACTTGGGATGTTGGAAGAACACTCAATAGACTTGGGATGTTGGAATAACACTCGAAGAATTCCTAAATCACTCGCCTGCGGCTCGTGATTTACGAATTTTTCTCGTGTTCTTCCAACATCCCGCGTGGTTTATCAGCCTATAAACCATAAAAACTTGTAGTCTAGTGCTTAAGTAAACTGCTGCTTATAAGCCCTGAGCTTAAACAACTACGTAAGGGCTTTTAGATGAGTTTATAAACTTAGGGGCTTATATCCGAGGGAGCTCATAACCGGAATAAAAAATATCGTTTTGAAAAGAGCTATATGTTGACCGAAATAGGTTTTTCATTTACCGCTAATTAAGCTTTAAAACATCATAATAAAACGAATTCAAACAAGGCAAGCTAGAGGGAGGCTTATATCCGGGGGAGCTTATAACCGGATGTATTTTTTGGTTTACAGGTAGATACAGCTGGAGGGGCTTATAAGCAGCAGTTAACGGTATATGTATTGTAACTCTCGGCTCACTGCATTGTTGAAACAAGTCTTGCATTGTCTTAATAGGGTTCCAGAATTTGTACAAGAAAAACGTTTCCACAACTGGCTTGAAAATGCACACGATTGGAATGTGTCAAGGAACCGTTACTGGGGTACACCAATTCCACTGTGGGTCAGTGATGATTTTGAAGAGGTATGCCTGGTTAAAAACGTGGTTAAAAATACATTTGTATATTTTATTTAAGAATCTTGCAATGTTATATACTTGTTAAGAACCACGATGTAGCTCCAGTAGTCAAAGAATAATGTTATTGTTGTTGAGCAAAGCATGGCAGAGAAAATGTACAGATATTTTTAGCACACACGCAAAGCCATTGTACTACCAGTAAAAACGTTTGCTTTGCTTCAGTTGATATAGTGTGATAAAAGTAAGCCTTGCAGGGCCCAAAGCAGTATGACGTACGGTGATTAAACAGCTGTCTGGGCTTGAGAGCGAGTTGTAAATCAGTCCTTGCAGGCTTCTGACCACTGGTTTAACAAACTTTTCACTAACAGGTTGTGTGTGTTGGATCAATGGACGAATTAGAGCAGTTATCAGGAGTCAGAGTTACGGATCTTCACAGAGAGAGGTGTGGAGTAACAAATGACCATCAGTATTAGATTTTTAGTGATTAATATACCAAAACAATTCTTATGAAATGTTAAAAAATACTCTTTAACTTTGCCTCAAGGGCAACAAGGTAAACTGCACTTTCTATTTAATGATGATTTTATTGAATTGTAAAGTGATATTTACTCATTATTTTCATGTTTAGTCTAGTTTACTAACTTGAGAAAATGTTTCCACCAATGTAGACAATGAATTATGCTACACATGGAGTAAGCTATAATACGTACAATACATCTTCGCAAATGTTAGTAGAAATCTAGTTTATTCTTCTGTTACTTAAGTGATGTTCTTTACTTGTTTGGCAGTGTGGACCACATAACAATCCCATCTAAAACAAACAGGGGAGTTCTTAAAAGAGTGTCTGAGGTGTTTGACTGCTGGTTTGAAAGTGGAAGGTAAGTACCTTGGAATCAATAGGTTATCCAGACTGTTAGCCGGCATTGCGAACAAAGAGACAAAGAGTTTCTCACCTACTGGTCGCACAAAAATCGGGGCGAGAGCACAAAATCAACGGGAACGCTTGCTATGCAGGCTACCAGACTGTTTTCTGTAAGGGTTTTGCACAAACCACAATTTATTTCCTCCAAATTCACATTATTTTGCGATGATTACTTCTGTGTTCTCATCTATTGTTCTTCACAAAAAAAATCTCTTAGTCAGTCCACTGGCTTTGCATGATCAAGTACTAGCTCACAGTGAACTAGGTGATTTATGCAAGAGGTCGCCTCGTTACTCCTTGTACACCACTTGGTCTAATTACTGTTACTTATAGCTTTATTGTAAACACTGCTCACCAGACAGGATGCAATCACACGACACCCCCCTGCATGAACAAACTTTGTGTACTTGTACCTGTTAATAGAGAGTTTTTTCTTTAATTTTTGCAGTATGCCCTACGCGCAAGCTCACTACCCTTTTGAAAATAAAAACGAATTTGAAGCGTCATTTCCGGCTGATTTCATTGCTGAAGGAATTGACCAGACAAGAGGATGGTAAGTGGTTCCGTTTTTGTCGTTTTTGTTAGCACATAACCAAGTGCTTCTTTTCTTTCCTTTCTCCTGAGTTTATGTTCTATTTTCCAGGTTTTACACCCTGCTGGTGATTTCAACAGCTTTGTTTGATAAACCGCCTTTCAANGGGATGCTTGAGACCATAACATACCTTGGCAGACTGCGTAAGAGAAAATCTTTTATATTACAACAACAAAACTCATAGCCTGTCTTAAATTTGGTGTGCAGTTGAACAAACTCTCTTCCCCTCCCTTTGGTTTAACTGTCAAATGAGAAACATTTTTCACCGTGAATGACATCAAGAAATCTGCGCCGTGTACTGGGCTTCCTTGCCTTATGGATTGATATTTTGTAAATATAGTTGTAATATGGCAAAAATAATAATAAACTAAACTAAACAGATTAGAATGAATGTTGATTCTCATGTGGTATGTTGCTTTACTCTCCAGGGAGACTGTGGAGACAAAGATCGCGAGGAAGCGCTTCAGACGCTGTTCAGTGTTATCTTCTCTATGATACGATTATTGGTATGATATCTCGGTATTATTATATTGCTCCTCTAAGTAAAACAAACACGACATGGATTGCACATGTTTTGCCAACACATTGGATTGAGGCAAGCATAGTAAACAATAATTATTACCATACATCACGAAATAGGGGTGCACCTGCTTTATACATACTTGTTCTACGTCAGGTGATCTGGTGCAAGCGTTTCGTTCGTTACGTTACGTTCGTTATGTTACGTTCGGCTGTGATAACTACTCCCAGTGGGTGGAGTTTTAATAAAGAAAACGTAAGGTAAAGTTGCATCCTACCCAGGCGGAGTAGCAATCCTCGTAGTTGCGTCTACGCTTTGTAAGATAGTATGGCCTTACATCACGAACAACCGCAACAATCAACAGCTGGTCCTAGAACTGTGTGATTTCCGGCATCTTCCTTGACTTGACTTTTGTTGTTTTTCGTTTGTAGGCGTCATTCACTCCATTTCTGACAGAGCACACTTACCAGTCCTTACGGTCTTACATACCAGAAAGTATGAAGTCTGTAGAAACAGAGAGTATTCATTACCTGATGATCCCACTGGCCAGGTATTTACGGCTGTGTTTTTGCTGTTACTTGTAATATTCTCTGTAGTTTCACCTTGATGAGGGCCGCGTCTGAAGTCAGTATGTGACTGTTATGATCAACAAATGCAGTGAAGATGAATTGCAGCTCATGAGTTTGAATTACCACACCCAGGGGAAGACATCTTGAATTTATGCCGGGCCATATATACCTCCATTGTGCAGCTACAGTAACTTCTTTAATGCTTTATGACAACCCGGCTACTTAATATTAGGATGCAGAAATGTCTGTATATTGCACACAATTACATGGTTCACTTGTTTGACCTTTCTGCCTTGTTTCTGTTATTACTGGGTTTGATTCTCATACTTGACATACATTTATGACAAACAGCCACGTTCTGTAATAGTTTTTTTTTGTCTTTTCCTTTAAATCGCTAACTTAATTTTTTGTATGTGTTAAGGGAAAATCTGATTCACAAAGAGATCGAGAGGAGAGTAGCTCTGATGCAAACTGTAATTGAACTTGGGCGAGTTGTGAGAGATAGAAAAACTCTGCCATTGAAGGTGGGAATCACCTTAAATATAAGCGTCTGTTTGAAACTTTGAAACTTGTGAAATAAACCATTTTGTCTGTAATGGAATAACTTTAAATGAAGAGCATGTTAGGATCTGTGCACAAAGTTACGTTATAAGTATGTCAGCGGACAAGTCAAACACGTACAATCCACGACAAAAGTCCTTGGCACACCAGGGATCAGATGGCACGAAAATGCGTTGACAAGGTATTTTGGGGACAGTGCCTAATGACATCATTAGCGGAACCCCCTCCCCCCATCCCCGACAATATTGTAAACGGGCAATGACGACTTCATCACGATAAACAACATTGAATTGGGGGGAAGGGGACGAACTGATAAATTTCCCTGACAGATATTGCAAAAGTGGGAAGGTGTGCCAAGACTTTTGTCGCAGATTGTAGGTAATTATGAATGTGAAGTCAGAAAGAGTAAATTAACAGCCGTGACGAGTGTGCGAACCTGATGCTTCGAACTCTTTCCCTTCGTCAGAGGAAAATGTTCTGACGAAAGGAGAATGCTGGAAACGTCAGCTTCGCAAACTCGTTATGGCAGTTAATTTCCTTTATTAACTTCAAGCGGCTTTATAGCTTAGGAATACGATATATGCACCTTACCGTAAGCAGTCCATGATCGGATGTGTGCTTGCTTGGTAGCCGATTGCTAAATTTTCAAAACAGTGAGAAATAGATTGGAGTGGAGTCATGCTAACTGTCTGAAGAAAACTGGTGTTTTCAGTGTTTAGGAGGTAATACAGTGGAACCCTGCTTTACGGTCACCTGGTTAATACGGTCACTTTTTGTTGTCCCGGCGAAACGCCCATACATTTTCTTATAAGAAAACCCCGTTAATGCGGCCACTCCATTAACACGGCCGACGGCCACAATCCTTAATCCCCACCTGTATAATTCTTTTTAAAAATAATTTTACCCCGTTTATATGGCCACTCAAAGGGTTGTTGATATCAGTTATATGCACTGATTAAAGTTTCAGTTTTCTTTAAATTATATCTGCATTCCGTATGTTTAATGAAAAACGGTTTTGATGTTGGTTAAGATGTCATTCAATTTATACCATGGAAATTTAACCCAGCCCGTTGATACGGCCACCCTGTTAATACGGCCAAATTTTCATGGCCCGTTGGTGACCGTATTAACGGGGTTCCACTGCAGAAGCAGTCCCTCTTAATTTTATGTTGATGCTTGATTTGGTTTATTACTTTTTAGTTTTACTCGGCTTTCTATCTAGGAACATTATCAAGCAACTAACCCTAAACTTTACTAAAGTAGTGTTAGTTATGTTCACTCACTACCATTCCCTCTCTAACGTCATATTTTTCCCCCAGTATCCCCTCCCTGAGCTGGTTGTTATTCACCAGCAGCAACAGAGCCTGGATGATGTGCAATCTCTTGAAACCTACATCAAGCAGGTACAGACTGAATTACGGACGCTTTGGTTTTTACTACGTTTACTTCAGATGTAGAAAAGATTGTTTTAATTTGCTTTTTGTTATGAATCTCAGTCAATCAAGGTGAAAAAGTTAAGGTAATTCCTCTGAAATAAACGTGACAATAGATTTTTGTTCAAACTTTGTCCACTGAATATTTGTCATATGATAACTTCAATTTTGAAATAAAAAAAGGGGG